CCCCCGCCCTCTCTCTCTCTCTCTCTCTCTCTCTCTCTCTCTATATATATAACAGAACAAAAGACACGGTCTCCAAACAGAGAGCAAAAAAGAGGTAGCCTGTATGTGTGCAGGGCATAAAAATTATTTTATACAATTATTATTATCTTATAAATTATTTTATAATAAAGAGGCCACAGCAGAACAAAGACTGTCAGGCACGAACTAATAAATGTAGAAAAAAAGAAATACTGTTGGAATGAAGTAGAGTTAACCTAAGATGATGATGATGATGATGATAGGCCTAATAATAATAATTGAGGTGAGTGGAGTGTTGTTTAATTACACTTTTGTACATTTTTGAAAACAAAAATGCATAAACATTTAAATATTTATTTTTAAAGAAAGATAAAGGAAAAATTATCCTTCCCGACGTTTAAAAATAGTATAATTTAGAAATTGTATTTGTTAGAATAAATAATAGTTTGTTTAAAACGTCTTGAAATTTCAGGGCAACAGCGATGAAAGAGTGCCATCTATTGACTGTTCAGCATACAATAGCTATGTCGCTTGATGTAAACAAGGATTGCCACATCTTTTCTTATAAGGCTCAAGCAGAGGCGTCATGCCCATTCAAAGTGAGCAAAGTGGGCACGTGCCCCCTCAGATTTTTGAGCCAAGTAGATCTTGAATGCAGCTTCCAAAAGACAAAAATAGCCGATTAATATTTTCTATATTTAATACAATCACACCGGCGTGATTATAACGTTCAGTGCGTTATATCATCAGCTGCCAAACTCAAATCTGTGTTCGCTGGCTGGCGCTCAGCCAGATACAGACGCGTTTTTACAGCGCTGCACAATATAACCAATCACACACGATTCTGTTGAGCTTATGAAACCAATGACCAATCAGAGGTGTTCAGATGAGTCATCGCTAAAATGCCGGCGTTTTCTTCACTTGCTCAAAGCTGAATGAATACCTCTTTCTGGCAAATTCTCTCGTCAGAAACAACAAAGTGCAAATGTGTGTACGAATCTGTAAGATATTAATTTCATAGTGTAATCAGCTTCAGTGATTTTAATGGGAGTTTTTGAGAGTGCTTGAACTAGACTGTCAGTGAAAATGTTCTTTGATAATGTAAATGTTCGTTGCTCTCTTTCTGTACAATGAAAGTGTTATGATTAGTAGCCTAACTTGCAATGTTTTTATTCACATTAACTTTCAACATTAAATATAAACTCAGTCGTATTAAAATATGTTATGGCATGACATCCATAGCCTATGTGTTAATTAAGTAAACAGACAGGTTTTTATGCATAGTTAATAGATTACATTATTAGGTTACTTTGACCATCGCCCACTATAGATCAACATAATCTATAAAGGTGAGAATCAAGATGTTTAATGATATAGTTAATGCGTTTGGGGATGTTTCGAATAAAAAGGAAAAAATAAAACATAAGCGCTATTGTGGCTGCTGTGTGTCACTGACGACTAATAATGCATAATTTATAATTGAAAATATATGCAGTATGCCTTCGAAGCAGCTGCATATAAAAAATGAGACAAATTCTTGTTAAGATGTTTATTTACATAGTACAAGTTTGCAGGGACTCCTACAAATCTCAGACAGTGACAGAGGAAGAACATAAACATTATAATATCATATTGTCCTCCACTGCATCCCTCCATCTGACATCAAACTCCACTCTTCACAGCACACGTATATGATACTGTATAATTGAGTACCAACATTTAATCAGTCATCAGATATAATTTCACCGCATCAATTATTCATAGGGCACATTTGTTCCAGTTAAAAAGATTAGATTCAATCTTCGTGAGTAAACTGACCGTTTCTTATGCATTCTGATTTTGAAAAACTGATGTCACAGCGCAGAAAACAAGAGCTACAGATCATAGCACTGTAGAGTATAACATTTCTATGGGAGGGTCAAACAATATTACCATATCTCAGAATTAGAAACTAAATGGTCAATGCATTCTTCAATCTCTTCACCTGTGTCTTAAAACCATTACAATCTTTAGATTTGATTTCAAAAAGAAGGCCATGAGAGCATACAAACAAATAACAGATGGACACATGCTGTAATCATACTGGGTCAGCGTAGTTGTGTGTTTGTGCTGAGACTGATGTTGTCTCTCACATTTAACCGACAGACGTCAGAGACCATACTGTTTGCTGGTGTATGTGTGCTGAGAATCTCAGAAAAGCACAGGTCTGCTGGTTGAGGGGGGAAAGTACAAAAAAAGGATGAATTCTCACATCACCAGAATAGAAAGGTCACCACGAAGCACCAGAAAAAAAAAACAGCCATTAGAATACATGATTTCTTTTGAAAACTGTCTGTGCATCAGTGTTAATATTTGTTGTTGCTTTTCCCATGTCATTAAAGCCTTAATTTTCCAGGAGGACAGGTGAGGTTTTTATACTTCAGTGCGCACTTGTTTTACATCAGAGTAAGCTGTTGCATTCCTCCAGAGTTTTTATTCAAAGACAGGGCACCTGAGCAGTAAGCACTGATTATACGCACAGTATAAAAATGGCCCATTTGCAACCAAGTGTCTGTTTTGAGAGGTATGGCTTGACAGGGGAACCCCTCTTGTCATCTGAACTCTCATTTCATGCATTTTACTGTTCTCCTCTGATATATGCCAAAGATTTATCCAGACAAATGACAACCAATCCATGCTTAATATAGTGGAGCAAAAACCAGCCTGAAGCTTCAAAATGAGACAATCAACTCATCCAGTTTAAGAAAACTATGCTGCCAAACACATGATGATCAAAAGTATTAAATCTTTTACACATTTGTACCATGTTGAAGATATAACTGCAATTACATTAACAAGCAGCAAATGAGGTATCTGAATTATAATTTATCCTGAAGGGCTGATTCTGAACAATAAAATGCATATCTGAGAGAGACAAGACATCTGCTGACCCTGGCAAAACCACAATTTCCTTCATTTTAGACAAAGAGGTTTATTTCCCCCACACATTCCTAATGCTGAAGGTGGGATGTGCTAAACACTATAATCTGATGTATAAGACTCTGGAGCAAAGCTAAGAATACGCTTGACATCAAACATACCAGAAAAGAACAAAAATGATTTTTGTGACAACTGAAACAAATTTTTGCAGTCTAAAGGGATCTTTTACCCAAAAATAAAAATTATGCTACCATTTAGCACACAAAAGATGATATTTAAGTTTTTTTGTCCACACAATGAAAGTCATTGGGGACCAATGTTGTTTTGGAAACTTTCTTCAGAATATCTTATTTTTTGCAGTAGTAGCACGTCACACAGATTTGGAACGACATGAGGATGAGTGAATAATGACAGAATTTTCATTTTTTGGGTGAACTATCCTTTTAACACAGAACTGACATGAAGCATATTGGACAAAAATGTTATATTCTCAGTAAAAGCATTGAGTCTAAAGTAAAACACGTTGTTGTTGACTGGCCACTATACATCTAGAAGTGTGACAACTGACGACATGCGAGTTGCTTACTGCATGATATTAAACAAGCAGCCAGAGTAATTCAGACATTCATCATCTTCATTTCCTACATGATCAGCCCTGAGTTTGGCCTGCTTCACACACAAAAACTGGAATGTTCAAAAGACCGTCTTAAAAGTAACCTAGTCTTGCTCTAGCACCAAAGCACTATTCAGTGAAGTTATTGAAATAGACAAAGACAATCAGCTGAACTGTGGCAATGACTGAGACCGACTAGACAGAGTTGTTGTTGGCATCATGGGCAGTCCTGTCAATGACATGAAGACGGCAGGATTCTGAGAGTTTGTTGATGTTTCTCTTCCAATATAACAGCGCTAACATAAAGGAAACTACTTTAAATAAGCGTTTCAAATGCATAAAAAGGAAATGCAACAGATACAGCTCCTGCTCTCAGCAGCAATAAAACATTATTTTGCATGGAGGACAAAATGTATTTACAGTTCCAGATGAACTCTAAATGGTGACAGGACAGTATTGCCTGAGGACAAAGAATAAGGTACACATGACAAGACCTCTGAGAGATGTATGCCATTTCCTAGTTTGGCTGAAAATGTTCTTCTCAGACTCCCTGCGTAGAAGTTCCTGAGAAAAAGAGATGACTGGCATGTCAACAGGTAGATCTTAAACCGTGTGGTTTGCCTTACACTGTGTTTATACCCCTTCATCTGAAGGGTATATTGCAAAACTGTTGTGATGATCAAGCTTTTCTTTTCCATAGCAAAGGACTACACAAGCAGATGACCATATGCTTGCACACAGGTGAAAGTTTCAGTAACCGTTACACAAGAATACAGACACAGAGTGAGAAGGGCAGTAGATTCTGCTATTATCCAAAGGCTATAAATCAGGCGGCTTCAAATCCGCCCCTAAGAAGTTGCCTTCTTAACTATACTCATAAAATCACACAGGAAAAAAAGCAATCCTGTAAAGAAATGAGGTAGTGCTGTTAACTGAGAAAAACTTGGAGCATGAATCAATGTGTCTTTACAAGTACACTCAGAGTTGAAATGATAGAAAATGTACATGGACTCTTAGTGTTCCTTTTTTTTCTTCATTTTTGTCATGTTTTTCTACAAGTATTTGATACAGCAGTCGTGTATATACAAATAAACTTTGAATTTGAGACTCCTGAGACACTACGCTCCAGTCAGGGAATGTGTGTTTTTATTTGTATTGTATTCTGGTTTGTTTGCGTATGTATGTATATGAAAATGTACCTCTGATCTGATCAAGTTAAAGAGACAGTTTACCCAAAAATGAAAATTCTGTCATCATTTTCTCACCCTCAAGTTGTTCCACACCTGTAGGATTTTCTTACTTCTGCAGAAAACAAACAACATTTTTGTCCATGCACAGGTTTGGAGCAACATCAGCAAGAGTAAATGACAAAATGTTCATTTACGGGTGAACAATCGGAATACATGGATACACAATATCCACGTAGAATTGAAAAATGGTGCTAATTTTCTGGAACAACCATTTTAAGCACAGATCTGTGTGTGTTTGTGTGTTTATGTGTGGCGACCCTGAGACAGCAGGAGGTGGTACTTTGTGGCAGGGTTATCTTCTCCGACAAGATCTTCACCCATTGGCACTGATCTCGGACCGAGAATGAGTTCTGTTTCTATATGCAGGGCTGATTTTAGGGTCCTTCGACTTCACCTCAGAGTAAGAACACTCTGACTTCACGTGTGCATGTAAACATATAAACCACTTCACTTCAGCACATTCCATACATGCACACAAAGAGGGGTTAAAGTGTGCCACTGATATGCCCTAAAATGCATTTCCATGGATACTAGTGCTAAAAAAATATTCTATATGTACATACATATAAAATAATGGAACCAAAAGTTTGCAATAAAACAGCCAAGAGAAGAGGCGTGCGTGGCTATGAGAAAATATCAACTTCTCCAGCAGGAAGGTGCCACTCGTTGGTCTCCTCTGTTGTCCTTCTCTGTCCCAGAACTTTCGGAACACCATTTTTTATGCTTCTCTTCCTTCCAGCTTAGGGGTACATATAGTTATGCGCCCCTGAGGTAGAGTGGACAAGGCCAGAGCTGACAAGGGATGAGGGGGAAGCGGGGAGACCTGGTGAGGGCAGAACCTTCCCTGTAGGGCACAGCCTGTGGACACCGTTCTCCAGGGTCTCTGCCTTTGAGTAAAGGGGTTTGGATGAGTGGAAGCCATTAGTAAGCCCCACACCTTGGTTTTTGGCACTGCCCACTGTCGGCTGGCTGAGTCCACTCTCAAATGGTCCATTGTGATTGGACAGTACTTCTGAGATGTGAGTGCTGGGGGTCGGAGATGGAGATTGAGTTTCATGGTTGTTCTTGCTGTGAGCATAAGTTGGATGCGGGTTTGATGGAGTTGCCTTCTCTCCAGGAGAAGGGTGCTTGGAAGATGGAGACTCCAGAGAGAGCTCCATGTCGCTTTGTGAACCCTGGTCAACCGTCGTGCTACACAGCTGTGAATGTACGATGACTTCAGCCTCCACCTGGTTCTTGCTGAAGGAATACAGCCTCTCCACATGTCCGCTCTGCAAATACAGCACATCACAAAAAACACTACTCTTCAAATGGGGATATATTTTTTAAACATTCCTAATATGGTTCTAGTTCTTTTTTTTTTTAAATGTTGAAATAGTTTATGTATAATAGTTAACAGACCTCTATTAAGAATTAAAGGGGTCATATGACGTTATTTTGTGTATTTGGTGTAATGAAATGTGTTTATGCGGTTTAAGGTTAAAAAAAACACATTA